ATTAAGACTAAAAAATTAAGAATTGAGGATATGTTTTAATCTCATGAAAAAAAAAAATGAAGAAAAATAATTACACGAAATTATTTTTTTTATGGTCAAAAATAGATTTATTATGAAGATACAAGAGGATGAAGACAACAAAACAACTAAAAAAAATGAAGATAAGAAAATTACAATGCTATTTATATGTAACGTAGGGATGGGGCGCTTAAAATTTCTCTTTAAAGTGTGGAAGTATTAGCATGTTGTAAAAGGGAAAAATTTTCTTGTGTAATATGCCATGCCGAGAAATTTTTTTTTTAAAGTTGTTAACTATTGCAACAACAAGCTTTTTAATATAATGTACAATGTCAAATGCGGAGTTATAAATTTGAGTATTCGAATTAAACACAATATATTTACATTAAAACTAGCTTAAGATCAGTTCCAAATTCCAATAATTCAGAAGATTCAAATTATCAAGAAAGTTGTTACTATCTCCCTCCAATAAGTAAATTATATTAAATCATTATTGTAAACAAAGTTTAATTAGGAGCTTGTAAGGAAAAAATCAGTTCTAGAATTAACAATTTATTTGGAACCACCCATCCTTAATACGTAAAGGTTGACTTCAACCAATCAGTGAAATGGGTATTTATTTATTTTAAAATGTCATCCCGACCGGTCTTTGGTAATTGTAGTTGTTGGTGGATGTTAATGGTATATTTTAAAGAGTATATGAAGTTGGTTATGAAGTTAATAAATGAGGAGCTTAAATTTTCTCTAAGTGTCAGTATTAGGGGGGTGGAAGTATGTTGTGAAAGGGAAAAATTTCTTGTGTGGTGCGCCGTGCAGAAAAAAATTTAATTTGTGTACATATTACGCCTATTACTATTAGTATTAGGAGGTGGAAGTATGTTGTGAGAGGGAAAAATTTCTTGTGTAGTGCGTATATACTATTACTATTATTCTTTTAATGTCAAATGCGGAATAATTTAGTTGGCAGTTTTTAATTCATGTATTTTAGTATATGTACTCTTCCGATAGGGTTTTTATTTGTTTTATTCGTTATTATTATTTATTATGAATGTTTATTCGAATAAAACGAATAATTCTAATGAGATTTTAGTATTAGTATTGCAAATAGAAACTCCACTTCCTTATTCATATTAATTTGTTATGTTGCTGCATGGTTGTTGTGCGTGAAATCGAAATTGAATTTGAAATCCACATCATCATCTATACTCAAAAGTTAAAATTTTTGAAATACTATGTGATCCACACATTGGATTTTAAAAAAACCACCACCATTCAATTCAGCTTTAAAAAGGGAGTCTATTAATTTAAAAAAAAAATTTTGTCTCAAATTTTCTTTTCATAGATTTTTTAAATTTGAAAGTCATGCTCAGAAGTGCAACAATAATTTTCATGCAATACAATATTTTGAATCTCGCGACCAAATTTGGTAATGATTTTCTTTTATGTTCGTTAAAAGTTTTTTGTTGTAAAGGAAATAAATAAATCAAATAAATCAGATGTATGTTGTAGAAAATATTCTATGAAAAAAAATTTGTTACACGAAATTTACTTAGTCTCAATTTCTTAAATGTATAAAAAAATTCGGAATTTTCAAAATGCTAAGGCTCTGCCAATTTTTAGTTTAAGAAAAAACCAGCCAATAAGTTTTGAAGCTTGAGTCATTAACAATAAAACTTATCGGTTAAATTTTTTAAAATGATATAATTTTTTTTTGTTTTAGTATTTTGAAGTTGACCAATT